AAGTATGGGCTGTGTATTAAACTGACAGTGGTATGCGCTTGAGTTATTTTGATTTTTCCCTAGCTGTGTATTGAACTGACTGCGAAAATATTTTGGCGTCTAGTAGGATGCGTAGGTATGGGTGGCGTTTCACTGACCTCAATATTGCTAGCTTATTTTTGTGCTTTTACCCTTTTGATGTTTGCCTCATCCTGTAAAAATCATGTAATTGGAGTATTATTTCATTATTTATGTTTTAAAATCTTTTTCTTAAATTCTTTTTTCATTGACATACGGAATTCTTGTTTGAGCCCGAATTTTCTTGGTTGGATAAAAAAATGCTTTAATTATACTGATTTTCTCTAGTTTGTATCAGACATGTATTGTTGGATGGCGAGTATTTCTGTTTTCCACTGCCAATTTTCACCTGCCTTTTTGCGATTTTTATTTTTGTGCTTATTATTATTATTTTCTTAATATTTTACATGGCACAATGAGGAATATATATTATTAACAATCTGTTTGATTGACATATTATTAGTCCTTTTCATTCTGAGTGCCCATTGATCTTTCACTTCTGAGTTCATATATTTGATACATTTCTGACCTTTTTCATTTTGAGTGTCCATTTTTTGTAGAGGTATTACTATTTTGAGATATTTTATACATTTTGATAAGATTTACAATGCTTCTATGTTTTCATGATTCTTACGTTAAAAGATAATTTTTTATATTTAGATCATCATAATATCATCATCATCTTCGTCATTATCAATCTTATCCAAAAAAATGTGTAGGGTGGGCTTAAGATATTCTGATTTTTCATAATTTATGCGAGTATTATATGACATATTAAACATGCATATTAAATAGATACTATATATATTTCTTCTAGGTGATTCGTTTTATTTCTAATACTTTAACAGTAGTTTTATTTATTTATCTAATGAATGATTTTTTGAAGGAGTGTGGGCTTAATGATTGTAGTTGGCAGGTGATTGGAGGCTTCAAGGAGTAACTAGAGTTCTCTAAGGTCCAGAATTGTCTATAGAGTAACTTCATAAAACAAAAAAATATAGTCTACTTATATGTTTTAAGTAGGGGTGTCAATTTCGGGTCACGGGTCAGGTTCGGGTGGAACCCGAAACAGACCTTATACTTTTCGGGTCTTGAACCCGACCCGATTTTACAAATGGGTTAGTTTTCCGAACCCGAACCCAACCCGCTTCGGGTCCGAGTCAACCCGACATGACTCGAATGACTCCGGGGCCAACAAAAAATTACTAGTTTTCATATCAAAAAATGGGATAATCTCAGCTTTTCTGGTCAAAACAAGTCGAAAACGGGTCAATTCCGGGTCTAAAATGGGGTTTCGGGTCAATTTCGGGCCAAAGGGTCAACATGAAACCGACCCGATTTTTTAAACAGGTCAAATTGTTGAACCTGAACCCGACCCATTTCGGGTTTGGGTTGACCCTAACCCGGAATTATCGGGTAGGATTCGTGTCAGGTTTTCGGTTCGTGTCAAATATTGGCACCCCTAGTTTTAAGAGTAATATTTTCATCTTTATTTAGTAATATATCAAAATAGTTTTAGTGCTTTAAGATC